TACTCACATACACAAAGGAGATATTCCATTAATGCAGGGACCAGAGCATCCCTTTAATCTCTGCACAACCAAGTTATTGAAAAAAATAAGTTAAAGGGAAAAAATAGATTAAATAGAGTGGTAAGTATGTATTGATCGTGCTTATACAGTCTAACTGCTCAATTCTCTACCATTTAGGTGTTAAATCACTTTGTTTATGCAGCTTTAGCCACACCAATCATGTATGTGACCTACACAGTCTCCCTACAAATTTCCTATAAAGATCTAATATTTAAGCTTCCTTACTGCACAGTCCTGTCTTGGAGGAGTGGCCGGCGGAGTGTGGGGCATATGGGGAAACCTAACGTGAAATGCCAGGACTCTGGTGGTGCAGTGAGGTGCAGGAGGTGGTTGGCCTGAGGACCCCAGCAGGAGGGCCATGCGGACTGACAAGGCTTCTGAATGCCTGCTGAGCTGCAGATTTTCGGTGATTAATCACTGCCCGGTTTGAGAAGGATAAACAGCAGATCAGCGTTCCTGGGTGACCCTCCCTGGAACTCTACAGATAGGCCCAAAGTCCTTGAGTTTCTGACCTTTTGCCTTGAAGTATTGGTGAAGATCATGGGCCCCTACCCCATCACCTTTTTTTTTTAAATGTCTTTCCGCTGAGCATGGGATGGGGGTAGACAGCCGTTTGTGACATCACGCTACCATTGCAAAACATTTTGTTTTTGCTTATATGTATATTTTTGTTTTGTTTTAGTGCTCTTACATCACTTGCTATGTGTGCTCAACACGCAATTCAGTGGGGGGACCAGCAACATTTTTGCCCGCTGGAATACTTAGGTGGATCCACATGCAGGCTCTACTACCAGATTTATTTGTATGTGTAATCTATTGTTTAGGTGCTTTTTTTTTTACTATGGGTCTACTTTTTTTCATTCTAATATATAGCTTACTGTCTGAAACATTGTAGTTTTGAAAATGCCATTCTTATTGTTGCTTGCCATGAGGCTAATTTTATCAGCTTACTGATGGAGCAACATAAAGTTGTTGATTTCTGAACCTTATATAATGCATTGTTGTTCTGTTGCAATGTGCAATCTGTTTTGCTCTAGACTACTTGCCACCAATGATAAGCATACACATTTCTTCTTATGTTTGCACTTCCATACATGTGATACTTGCTGCCTATCAATCTGATTTTTTAAGTTTGGCTTATTGTACTGCTATAGTCAGAAATGTTTACCTCTTAATTTGCCTGAATGGGCCTTTTTCTCCCATGGTTTCGGACATTGGGATAATATAGCTATATGAACCACATCCTGCCCTGCTTTCGCCGAGTCGCCAATGCTGTAATGTTTTACAATGCTCACTTACGATAAGCCTAGCCATTTGCTTTAAGACATAAACCTCCATCCCCCTGCACGGCAGTAAATATCCTACATGGCCTTTCTAAAGGTGGCTATTAGGGAGCCCCAGTCATGTCATAGGGTAATAACTCATTTAAGGCCCATTATATATCCAGTTTCTTCTGAACTCTTATTCACATGATAGGCCATAAGCCTCATTTTATCTGTGTTGTAACTGCAGAATGGCTTTCAGCTACTACTCTCTGATGTGCTTGTACGCATATACCCTACTGCATTGTTTTGTGCTAACTCTACACTCAATAAAAGCTTATTTCAAACAAATACCATGCTTAAATGTATTTGTGAATGCCATCAAGATGTCAGACAAAGTCTGAATACAGTATATATAGTTTCCTATATAAAGAAGGGTTTATGTACAAGACAAGATAATGTAGGCAGTTATTGCAATCTGCATGGTGTAACATTCACTAGGGAACCCTAACACGCATACAGGACAGAGTAGAAAGAATAGCAATACCGATCTTTAGAATGGTCGGGTTATGCAAAAAAGGGATAGTCAAAACACTAGCCGAGGTCAAGGGAAACAGAGAGACGGAATAACGAGAGTCAAAGCCAAATATCAGAAACCAGGAAATCCAAATAAGTGCAACGCTCAATGGTAAACCAAAGGCCACAACAGGGCACGGAGGCAAGGGAGGGGTTAGCTTATATGCACACAGGGTGTGTCTGATTGGCTAATCTCCAATTAGTGTTAACCACAACATGTGGGAAGAGTTTCTACCCTCCCTTGTGGTCTCTGAGGTCATCACTATGTGCTTGGTCACATGACCGGGTGCAGCACACATATAAGGATGCTTCTCTGGAGCATACAGCGTCAGACACACTGCCAGTCTGGAGACAGGGACCAGATGACGCTGCTCGCGGTGACGAGGTAAGCAAAGTCGCCGCGAGCGGTGTGGGGGCTGGGGATCTGACACATGGAATGCAATGTGCCCAGTGCTCTCCTTATAAAGAATACAGCCAATATATTAATAATGGGATGAGAAAGTGGGCCGAGCATTTACACTCCCTTTGTGCCTTGCAAAAATACTAATTGGAGTCCTGGAGAATAAAATTGATTGGAGCTAATGGTAAATGATTGATAAAGTGCTAATACTTTATAATACACATTTCAATTTAGCCTATGTATACAAGAATGTGGGAATGAAAAGGATAAACAGTGTATAACATGTAAACTGTATGGCTCAATTGTAATCCTTGCTGGATGCATCTTTTATAACCATCTTAGAAAATTGGGGAAACTTGGAAAACCTGTCAGACTGCAGCTCGAGGTTCTGTTACAATCCAAACTTCTCCATTTAATGGAACACTATATTGCTAGGAAACAAAGCTGTATTCCTAACACTATAGTTTATCACTGCCATCGCGATCCCCCCTATTCAACAATATAAAAGTTTAAATAACCCTTTAAACACTTACCAGATTCCAGTGCCAATGTCCATGATGTCCCTCGGCACTCGGTCAAACTCCTCCTCTGACGTCAGTCCATGGGGGGAACCTAATTTCCCATAAAAAGCATTGATTCTTTGCTGTCCTATGGTTTTTTTTAAACACGCTGGATATCCTCATGCAAATCGTGAGTATGTGCAGCATCATTTCATGGAGTCAAACTCCGAAAGTCAAACTGTGAAAAGTCAAAGTGTGAAAGTGCAGGAAGCACCGCTAGTGGCTGTCTGGTAGAGGGCACTAGGAGCAGTCTAAAACAGCAGTGCTTTACATTGCAGAATTAGGTGAACACTAGGGACACTGCACCTACACCATTTCAATGATATGAAGTGATCTGGGTGCTTATAATCTTCCTTTAATTTCTCAAGCAATACATTTAGGTTACTCACTAAACAATAAGTTGTGATGTCATGACAATGAATTAAAGCTTATGCAAATACCTAGCCTGACAACATTTGAAAAGGATATAGTTTCTCTCCAATGACTGAGTCATATTTAACATCTCCCTGTGCTACTTTGGGTTGGTAATTAATCCAATACTAAATACATGATAGGTAATCTGTATGATTAATTGTCCCTATACAATAATATACAAAGACATGGTATGTCTCTAACTCTATGTAAATAAATAAAAAGACCCATTTGAGAATCACAATTCAATTTTCAAAAGCCTTTAGCTATGTAGTAATCACTATTATACTGCATTTATCCAGATGTATATGGTTAGATGATATATTGCCACATGTAATATTCCATAACAGTTTATTTAACTCCTTTGTGACCACCAGTTAGACTCATTATAGCATAACAATCCTGATATTTCATTTGACATGAAGCAACAAACAAAACTAGAAAAGCTACAATTTCTGGGGAAATTGTGTGAAGTGTTCTTGCCTCCACCAGTAGTCTACAACTGGAGTGGGCGGAGTAACTGTTATCATTTATATAGCACATTTAATTGCAACGTTGTTGCACAGTTACATTAAACCATACATTTATAAAACATTAGCAGGTGTTCAAAAGGCCCTGTCTATGACATCACTTGCTGCTGCAGCTTGACACAGGTCAGAGTATTTTGGCGGTTGCCATCTTCAAACGGTCGTATTTTAAAAACTATAAATCCTACAGCGAAGAGCTTTATATTGTGAGAATCACAAGACCCAGACCTACATTTTGATGCATAGTATGTCTCTGAAGTATTAAAAATGAAGGCACAGTCGCAGTTTAGAAATTGCACTTCAAAGTTGAGCTTTGTAGAGTGAAGTTTCAATGAATGTCAATGGACGGCGTTAGTTGCAAACAAATGATTATATTGTGAAAACTATCAGGACTATGGCTTAGCCGTTGACATGTTTAGTGGCAGCAGGGATAGCTGAACATTTTGATATAAGATTTGTGTAGGTGGGCCTGAAAATAAGGGAGTGGTGGCAGTTTAGAAATCATGTCCTGATTTTTCAGCTTTTGCCAGCTCCCACTCTAGCTTTGCCATTCATTCCTATGGGACAAATTGCGCCACAAGAACGACGATATTCCGTGAACCATTCGGCGAAACGTTCCACAAAGTAATAGCAATCCGATCGGGAACAATCTGCACGTTTTGGTAAATTTTTGTCTATGTAGCGTAAAAACTGTGGGAGGAGTTAGGGTGGCAAATTTGGCTATAATAAGAATAAGAATATATATGTGAGATAACATTAAGTGGTCTTGCTATGCAAGAACACTTAATGAGGTTTATGAAGATTAAGTGATGATGTCATAGATGACAATACGATGAACTACTCACCAGTAGAAACAAATATAAAGGACAAATACAGATATACTGAGATTAGCACCAGAGAAAATGGACACGTGTAGCCCTAATAAAAATGAACACTTGATGATAAAAATAAATGTAAGATACATAAGAGAGTTAACATTAAATACAATATATAGAAATGTTACGAATATAATACAACACTGTGCCAGCAAAATCTGGGCATTGACCCAAGCTTTTTTATGACAATTTAGTTATAAGGCAGTGCAGTCTACACCTGAAGTGTGTGTAGGAGAACACAGCGTGGGATGGGATAGAGATATAGTGCGTGTAGGAGAACATAGTGTGGGATGGGATAGAGATATAGTGTGTGTAGGAGAACATAGTGTGGGGTGGGATAGGGAAATAGTACGTGTAGGAGAACATAGTGTGGGATGGGATAGAGATATAGTGTGTGTAGGAGAACATAGTGTGGGATGGGATAGAGATATAGTGTGTGTAGGAGAACATAGTGTGGGTGGGATAGAGATATAGTGTGTGTAGGAGAACATAGTGTGGGTGGGATAGAGATATAGTGTGTGTAGGAGAACATAGTGTGGGTGGGATAGAGATATAGTGTGTGTAGGTGTACATAGTTTGGGGTGGGATCTTGATGTAGTGTATAGAGAACAAAGTGTGGGTGGGATAGGGATATAGTGTGTGTAGGTGTACATAGTTTGGGGTGGGATCTTGATGTAGTGTATAGAGAACAAAGTGTGGGTGGGATAGGGATATAGTGTGTGTAGGAGAACATAGTGTGGGGTGGGATAGGGATGCAGAATATAGGGAACATAGTGTGGGTAGGCTAATGATGTAGTATATAGGGAACATAGTGTGGGGTGGGATAATGATGTAGTGTATAGGGAACATAGTGTGGGGTGGGATAGGGATGTAGTGTGGGAAGGAGAACATAGTGTGTGGTGGGATAGGGATGCAGTGTGTGTAGGGAACATAGTGTGTGGCATGCCCGGACTGGCCATCGGGCACACCAGGCAAATGCCCGGTGGGCCGCGGTGGCCATGGACCAAGGCCGGCAGGGGAGGTCCCAGGATCTCCCCTGCCGGTCTATGCAGGGCCGGCACTATCCGAGTGCTGGCCCAGCTGTTTTCCATGACGGGCCGGTGGGGAGATCTAAGATATCCCTCACCAGCCCACTTGAATAGATATGCGGCTGGGGGGGAGAGGAGCACCCGGCCGAGCTCTATCTTGCAGCTCCGCCAGGTTCCTCTCGCGAGATCCGGCGCGTTGCCATGGCAACGACCGGATCTCACGAGAGTGAACTCTAGCCCGCAGGCTAGAGTTCACTCACCACTGGACCACCGGATGTCGGAGTGCGAGTGCCGATTCCCTCCCTCCCAGGTACCACCGTGCCGGTTCCCCCCCTTCCAGGTACCACCGTGCCGGTCCCCCCCTCCCAGGCTAAAGGTAAGAAGGGAGGGGTGATATAATGCCTGCTTAGTTTATTTTAATTTTTTACCCTCCCCCCCACACACACACACAATCCATTCTAACATTTATACACAGCACTCACACAGCACCCTCACACTCATCGCACACAGCCAGGGGTCAAGTCCTGGGGAAAAAAGTGTGGGAACTCACCCAAGATTCCCGCCGTCCCCCCTTTAAAAATTACACTCCTATGCATATAGTGCAGTGCAGGGTGTGTATAATGAATGTAGTGTGTTTGTAGTGAATGCAGAGTGTGTATAATGAATGCAGTGTGTTTTTAGTGAATGCAGAGTGTGTATAGTGAATGTAGTGTGTAGTGAATGCAGAGTGTGTATAGTGAATGTAGTGTGTAGTGAGTGCAGAATGTGCATAATAAATGCAGAGTGTGTATAGTGAATGCAGAGGGTGTATAGTGAATGTAGTGTGTTTGTAGTGAGTGAAGTGTGTATAATGAATGCAGTGTGTGCGTGTGCTGGATGATGTGTGTGTGCGTGCTGGATGACGTGTGTGTGAGTGCTGGATGATGTGTGTGTGAGTGCTGGATGATGTGTGTGCGAGTGCTGGATGATGTGTGTGTGTGTGCTGGATGATGTGTGTGTGTGTGCTGGATGATGTGTGTGTGTGTGTGTGTGTGTGCTGGATGATGTGTGTGTGTGTGTGTGTGCTGGATGATGTGTGTGAGTGCTGGATGATGTGGTGTGTGTGTGTGCTGGATGATGTGTGTGTGAGTGCTGGATGATGTGTGTGTGTGCTGGATGATGTGTGTGTGTGTGAGTGCTGGATGATGGGTGTGTGTGTGCTGGATGATGGGTGTGTGAGTGCTGGATGATGGGTGTTTGTGTGAGTGCTGGATGATGGGTGTGTGTGCTGGATGATGTGTGTGTGTGCTGGATGATGTGTGTGTGTGTGAGTGCTGGATGATGGGTGTTGTGTGAGTGCTGGATGATGGGTGTTGTGTGAGTGCTGGATGATGGGTGTTTGTGTGAGTGCTGGATGATGGGTGTTTGTGTGAGTGCTGGATGATGGGTGTTTGTGTGAGTGCTGGATGATGGGTGTTTGTGTGAGTGCTGGATGATGGGTGTGTGTGTGTTGGATGATGGGTGTGTGTGTGCTGGATGATGGGTGTGTGTGTGCTGGATGATGGGTGTGTGAGTGATGGATGATGGGTGTGTGAGTGCTGGATGATGGGTGGGTGCTGGATGATGGGTGTGTGAGTGCTGGATGATGTGGTGTGTGTGTGCTGGATGATGGGTGTGTGGAGGCTGGATGATGGGTGTGTGTGCTGGATGATGGGTGTGTGTGTGCTGGATGATGGGTGTGTGTGTGCTGGATGATGGGTGTGTGTGAGTGCTGGATGATGGGTGTGTGTAGTGCTGGATGATGGGTGTGTGAGTGCTGGATGATGGGTGTGTGTGAGTGCTGGATGATGGTGTGTGTGTGTGATGATGGGTGTGTGATGATGGGTTGTGTGAGTGCTGGATGATGGTGTGTGTGTGTGCTGGATGATGTGTGTGTGCTGGATGATGTGTGTGTGAGTGCTGGATGATGGGTGTGTGAGTGCTGGATGATGGGTGTGTGAGTGCTGGATTGTGTGTGTGTGTGCTGGATGATGGGTGTGTGAGTGCTGGATGATGGGTGTGTGAGTGCTGGATGATGTGTGTGGGGGGGGGAGCATTTTTTTTAACTTTATGTGTTTATATTTTTTTATTTTATTCCCCCCTCCCTGCTTCTTACCTTGTCAGGGAGGGGGGAGATCGCCTGGTGGTCCGGTGGTATGCTGGAGGGAACCAGCCGCTGCACAGAGGGGCCATCACACGCTGTGTTCCCTCTCCAGCTCTAACTCTCGCGAGACTCGCCTGTGCGGAGCGTTGCCATGGTAACAGCCGCGGGTCTCGCGAGAGTTATAGCTGGAGAAGGAACACAGCATGTGACGGCCCCTCAGTGCAGGGACCAGGGCCGGTCCTGCAGGACAGGTAACGGGAACGGCGTTCCTGCTTTGGAAAAAGTGCAGGAACGCCGTTCCCATGCGTTCCTGCAGGACTCGAGCCCTGCACACACTCACACATCACACACATGCACTCTCACACACATCAGCACTCTCACACACAGCACTCTCACACACATCACACAGCACTCTCACACACAGCACCTCACACACAGCACTCACACACATCACACTCACACACATCACACACATCACTTCTCACACCCATCACACACAGCACCCTCACACACAGCACTCTCACACCCATCACACACAGCACCCTCACACCCCTCACACACAGCACTCTCACATCCATCACACACAGCCCTATCACACACAGCACTCTCACACACATCACACACAGCACTCTCACACACAGCACCCTCACACACAGCACTCTCACACACAGCACTCTCACACCCATCACACACAGCACCCTCACACCCATCACACACAGCACTCTCACACACAGCACCCTCACACCCATCATACACAGCACCCTTACACACAGCACCCTCACACACATCATAAACAGCACCCTCACACACAGCACCCACACACACATCACACACAGCCCCCACACATCACACACAGCACCACTCAAACACAGCATCCATCACACACACATGCTGCACCCTTCACATACACACTAGATCCCTCACACATACACACTGCACCAAACACACACACAATACTTCAGAATACTCCCTTATAAACACACTAGATTGTTTGCAAACAAACACATACTACACCCCTAAACACACACTCTCTACAACCCCTACAAACATTATATCACCTATACACACACACACACTATAGCCTGTATGCACACACTTACTACATCCCCTATACACACATTCTCTATAGCCCCTAGCCACATATGCATTACATTACACCCAAAACACAACACAACTAAAACCGACCTTATTACACAATACCACACCACACGCAGCTCACTCTACACACACGCAATCCCACAAGCAGGCTCCAAACACATGCACAATACTCTTTCCTGGCCCTTTTGTCTCCTGGTATCCATTTATAGAGACACCAGAGACAAGTTGTAAAGGAACACAGTGCAAGCATGTTATTAAATTTGCCTGCACTGTGCAGAACAAATACAGGGCTTTTTTCTCATGCTATAGCTCTTTAGCAAAGTTCTGCGCATGGTCTGCCCTGGAAGAGCATTGAACTAACATGCTCACTTTGAGAGGGGGCGTGAGCAGGGGATTTGTGGAAGGGGGGTGCAGGGATTTTGTAGAAGGGGCAGTACAGAGAGTTGTAGAAGGGGGCAGGACAGGGGTTTTGTAGGAGGGACGGGGCAGGAAAGACGTTTTGTAGAAGGAGCAGACAGGGGTTTTACAACGTTTACACATTTGTGCAATACATTATAAAAAAAGAAAACATTTTAAAAAATTTGCAGGTGTTTTTTTTACATTTTGAAGGGGGTGGGGGGGCTCTGTGAGTGAGCTTCTGTGTGTGTGTGTGTGTGTGTGTGTGTGTGTGTGCTAGTGATGGAGATTCTGTTTGTGTGTGTGTGTATGTGTGTGTGTGTCTGCTAGTGAGGGAGCTTCTGTGTGTGTGTGCCAGCTAGTGAGTGAGTTTGTGTGTGTGTGTGCTCCTGCTAGTGAGTGAGTTTGTGTGTGTGTGTGTGTGTGCCTGCTAGTTAATGAGATTGTGTGTATGTGTGTGTGTGTGATTGTATGTGTGTCAGTAAGCTTGTCTGTAGGGATCGTGTGTGTGTGTGTTAGTGAGCTTTTCTGTAGGGAGCATGAGTGTGTCTGAGCTTGTCTGTAGGGAGCATGTGTGTCAGTAATCTTGTCTGTGGTTAGCATGTGCGTGCAATGAGCTTGTCTGTAGTAAGCATGTGTGTGACCGTGAGCTTGTCTGTAGCGACCGTGTGTGTGTCAGTGAGCTTGTCTGTAGTGAGCATGTGTGTGTCAGTGAGCTTGTCTACAGATAGCATGTATGTGTCAGTGAGCTTGTCTCTAGTGAATCTGTGTGTTAGTGAGCTCTTCTGTAGTGAGCATGTGTGTGTCAATGGGCTTGTCTGTAGGGAGAGTGTGTGCACGTCAGTGAGCTTGTCTGTAGTAAGCTTGTGTGTGTATCAGAGTTTGTCTGTACTAAATTCGTGTATGTGTACCAGTGAGCCTGTCTGTGTGTGTCATTAAGATTGTCTGTCAGTGGGCCTATTTGTGTGCATCAGTGAGCATGTGTTTTTATGTCAATGAGCTTATGTTTATCAATGAGATTGTCTGTGAGCCTGTGTATCAATGAGCTTGTGTCAGTAAGATTGTCTGTGTCTGCATGTGAGTATGCTTTACTGTATAATTTAATTACTTTGAAAGGGCTAATATTTTGAATTAGAAAAAGAGATATACCAATAATATATATATATATATATATATATATATATATATAGATGTAAAAAAACAGATAAAATTCTTATCTTGTAATACCTTTTTTATTGGACTAACAGAATTTTTTAATGACAAGCTTTCGGGAGAACCTCCCTTTCTCAAGTCTGAAGCATTTCTGAGCAAAACGACACATAGAATTCAAAGTTGAGTTGTGATACAGGGGTTAAAGCGACATGAGTGTAGATAAGACACAGGTTTGTTAGAAAATAGACACCATCTTAGCAGAGGGTCATAAATATCTTGTTGAAGAGAAGAGTAGGGGGGAGAGAGGGAAAAGAAAAACAAACAAGCAGACAGTGCACAGTACAATCTCTACTTGAACACTATATATATATATATATATATATATATATATATATATATATATATATCTTGAAAAAGACCCTGAAGGGTCGAAACGTTGATTTTGGGACTTTACACTTTTTTGAATACCATTGAATAAATATCACCTGGATCAAGACCTATGAGTGCACCTCTTTGCTTATTGAATATATATATATTGGTATATTATTTAATATATATTTTTAAAAACACACACACACTACATAGCACAATGACTTATGGGGCTGGCATAGATTTTTTTCCAGGGCTGCTTTGTATCCTCAGTCTGGCCCTGCCCACCAGCCAATAATGATGCATGGCTCACTCTCTGTTGGCATGGCGCCCTGTGCTGCACAGCTTGAGACCCCAAAGGCTGGATATTTCTACTAAAAGAGCACCTCTCATTTGGTACCATACAGTGTCATTCCTACCTTATATAAAGGCTTCACGTTTTTATGACACCAAATTTCAACCAGATTCACTCTGAACAAATCTGCAAAATAGTATTTGTAAATTAACTTCACCTGCATTTTGCAGACAAAAATCCACTGTATTCATCCACTGGCTACTTGTCAAAGGGCTCAAATATTAAGCATAATTAAATGATATTTGTGTAATAAAAAAAAATGTAGGGGGGCGTGGCCTGACCGGGTATGGAGTGAGACGCATCTCCCTGCAGCTCCTAGGCCCCAGCTCACTACCGCACCGATAAACGAGCACGAATTGACCCGAGATGGGTAAGACAAAGAGGCTACTCACCCCTGGCCCCTCACAAACGGGCTCACCGAGCCGCACAGCGGGTCCAATGGACGGGTACCTCGGAACGCCGCGAGACATGCGGGCGCACCAGGCCGCGGCCAAAATGGCACCGCCCTCACCAGACGCCAGCAGCTCAGACAGCCCAGCAACAGGCCCAGCCAGAGAGGAGTCACTGACCCAAATTGCAGCAGACCTGGCCACAATATCTGCAA